TAATGTCATTTTACTTCATCTTAACTGTAAAAAATTAAGGTGAAATTTAGAAAGAATTAAAAAGGGAAATTAATACTTTTAGTGAAGGGAAGGAAAAGGTGTTTGGATTGTGTGGTTTTGCTATTTAAAATCATGTTTGCATAGAAGCCCTGAAGAGCATTGTGGCTTGGCAAACATAACTTAGTTCATCATTAGAACCATTGCTAACCTAAAATAGAATGTGATTCCATGATTAGGAATAATGCTGGCTGGGGGAGAATCATTAGCTGCCAGGTACAGGAGGATGGAAAGAAGCAATACTGGATTTAAGTTTAAATTGCAGAGTTTTATCTTTAAAAGCAAGAAGTCCTAAGATAACAAGTCACCAGGAGACTGGAGTAACTTTTGATATGTTTTCCATCCTTGTATTTTTTCAAACACAGTGTTAGGATTATCCACAGAGATCCTTCTGAGCTCCTGCTGAGGCCCTGTCGTTTGTCCTGCAGGAATTGACAGGCACTGCGAGTCAGAAAATGTGTCCTGCTTCACCAGGAGCCTTCACTGGGTTCATACAGTGAAATGAAAAATGGCATAGTGATGATGATGATAATAATAATAATAATAATAATAATAATAATAATAATAATAATATAATTCCATCTCTTTTTCAATCTGCTGAATTTCCTGGGGATTTTCAGCTCTGTCCTAAGTGTGCTGGAGTTTTGCTGTTGGTTGCAGTGATGGTGTGGAGGGGACAGGGGGAGGAGCAGCTGCCCATGGGGCACAGGTCACTGCTGCTGCAGTGTCACCCTGCTGGGCTCCAGGGTGGCATCACTGCCGCAGCCAAGGACCTGGGCACCAGGCAGGGAGTTATTGTTTGCTATTGTCTGTTCTTCAGAGTCCATGAGTGAGGCACTGGGTGTTTTAGTGGCACATGCAGGAGCAGTGCTGGCAGAATTTCCTCGTCCTTACACTTTTGTCAGTGAAGTTGGTGATGATGTGTCTATAGTTCATGTAATGACTGGGGTCAGGATTGTATTTGTGTTCTAGGTCACTGTAGATTATTGTGCTGAGCTAAAAGGTCAAGATTTGGGAACTCCATGAAACCAATCCTGGCTAATACAGACAGATTTTGTAAGCCTGTCACCACAGAGAAGTGTGCCCATCTGCAAAATGGAAATGACTGTTCTGTTTTGCAAGGGAGATGGCAGTTGGTTATGCTGTTATCAAAATATATATAGTATGTGTTATAAATAAATACGTGTTAAAAATTCCACTTCTGATCTGTGTGAATGGAAGGAGTAAAAGTTATGTGTGCTTGCAACTCAGTCTAGGAGGAGATGCTGCAGACGTGTGGATGTCAGGCTGGTTTCTGAGTCCCGCTGATTTCAGACAGGAGTTGTGCGTGAGTGCAGCTCAGCTGTGCACGCCCAGGAGCTGCTCTGTGCTGCAGGGGTGGGAGCCAAGGTGGGGCTTCACAGCTCCAGGGGACACCAAAGGTGCCACAGGTGCCCTTGCACGAGTGTTGGTGTCAGCACGCCAGTAAAGGCATTGCTGGAGCTGGCAGTGTTAAACATTACTTTTATAAACAGTTGCTATGGTAATTGGCTAATCTTCATAAATCATTTGAAAAGGCCCCCCTTGCCACTAGGGTTTGCTGCTGCTGCACTGGAACGTGGAGAGGCTTTGCTGCCAAGGTTCCCAAAGCCTGGAGTGCTCCCTGGCACTTGGGTTTGGTGAGTTCTGCGCTCTCAGGTTGGTGTCCTGCTATTGCATCCTCCTTCCTGATTGCCTGCTGCAAATAACACTGCCAAGTCTCTCCTTTTTTAAGTTGGCTTCACTGCAGGTTTACCTTTCTCAGAGCAAGCCAAAAGCTAAGGAAGAGCTGAAATTCAGATTGTTTTTGTTTTGTGTGCTCAGACACAGCCCTGCAGGGGCTGGGCTGCCCTGGGGCTGGAGCCCTGGAGGGAGAGGCTGGCTCTGGGCAATCTCACTGCAGAGCTTCCCTTCCTTTGCTTAACCTCTGACCTGGGAAAACAAGAGTTCATCAAAACTTCTGAGGGAGCTAAGAGGAAGGGGAAGTGTTTGGTTACAAATTAAATATGAGCAAGTCATAAGCCATAAATCTTCAGTAGTGCTACCAGTTGTGCTACTTAAGGTACAGAATATTTTGGGTTATAAACTCTGCCTGTATTTCTTTGGAGGGGTGTTTAAAGGCTGCCTTGCTTTCTTTAAAAAAAAAAAAAAATCCACATTTTTTTCCTCTTTCCTTTTGGCAGACATCTAGAAACAAATTCAGATAACTATATTTCTTGGGGGATTTTTTAGATTTTTTTCAACTTTAACTGGTCACAGTTTGGGTCTAATAAAAGCAGAACTGGTTTATTCTTGAGCAGTCAACACATGGATTAAGTGATGAAGTAAGAGTGTTGAAGATGGCAGGATAAATCAGTTTTCTAATGTATCCAGAAATTTTGGGATAAGAGAGATCCTGAATGGTGTGGTGACAATAGAGGGGGGTGACAACCGAAGTCAGATTGTCTGCATAATTTGCACGATTCTTTGGTGGGTTTGTCTTTGTTTGTCTTGCCCCTCTTTGAGCAAGAGCCACACAGATGCCCATGTGTTGTGGAGGGATGAGTTCTGCTTCAAATACCAGCTCATTTCCTCAGATTCCAAACTGGGACACTGTCCTCAGAAGGGGAAGTTATTCTCAGAATAGAAAAAGAAGCAGTTATGATGAGATGCTAACCCATCATTTGGAAACAAGGAGGAGGGAATGTTAAAAAAAGGACAATAGGTTCATCAGAGGATACTGGGGAAGAGAAGGGAAAGCCAGGGAGTACAAGGGTAGCAGAAATGGGGCTGTGTCTGCTTCTGTGGGGGTTTGCTGGTGTTCTGACATTGTGGGAATGTGAGATGTGTCTGGGCTCTTCTTATTGGAGTCACAGAGGCTCTTTCCTAGGGCCCAGTAAAAATGTGAGGCTGCTTTGGGCTGGAGTGTTCTCATGGCTGGAGCCTGCAGCTGTGCCATGCTGGCTGTGTGCAGGTAATGCAGGAACCCTGGGGGCTGCAGGGGGCTCAGCAGTGGGCACAGGGCCTGGCAGGGCAGGGCAGTGGGCACAGGGCAGGGCAGGGCAGTGGGCACAGCCCCGGGCAGGGCAGGGCAGGGCAGTGGGCACAGGGCAGGGCAGTGGGCACAGCCCCGGGCAGGGCAGGGCAGGGCAGTGGGCACAGCCCCGGGCAGGGCAGGGCAGTGGGCACAGGGCAGGGCAGGGCAGTGGGCACAGCCCCGGGCAGGGCAGGGCAGGGCAGGGCAGGGCAGTGGGCACAGCCCCGGGCAGGGCAGGGCAGTGGGCACAGGGCAGGGCAGGGCAGTGGGCACAGCCCCGGGCAGGGCAGGGCAGTGGGCACAGGGCAGGGCAGGGCAGGGCAGTGGGCACAGCCCCGGGCAGGGCAGGGCAGGGCAGGGCAGTGGGCACAGGGCAGGGCAGGGCAGGGCAGTGGGCACAGCCCCGGGCAGGGCAGGGCAGGGCAGGGCAGTGGGCACAGCCCCGGGCAGGGCAGTGGGCACAGGGCAGGGCAGGGCAGTGGGCACAGCCCCGGGCAGGGCAGGGCAGGGCAGTGGGCACAGCCCCGGGCAGGGCAGGGCAGGGCAGGGCAGGGGCAGCTCTGAAGGACACCCAGGACCTGCCCCCATCTGGGGCTCAGCGTTGCCCCCTCGGGTCCCTGCTCTGGCTCCCCTGGGGAGGGGAAGGCCTGGGGGAACCTGCTTTTGTTTTCCTCTTTTACAAGACACCACACACAGACATTAGGAGCACAGCAATGGTTTTAAGGACTCTCATTTTAAGTCTGTAAATGTATTTTTCTGGCCAAGTCCCTGAGCGATTAGGTGGAATTTTTAATGGTGCCTCTGTGGAAGCAGCTTTGGTTTCCCACTGCCAGGGAGCTTTCTGCCTTCCTGCCTTTCTGTCTCCTCAAACTCTTTTGATAGATGCCTTGCACGGATTTGTTTACCAGGTTCTTAATCTCTACTTAGCAGATATGTTTGGAGAGGATTTCTTGTTACCCTTGTAATGGCTTTTAACTCTGATGAAGTTTATTTAACTAAACTGAAAGAAAGAAACTTATCTTCTACCTAATCCTTCTGGATTGTTTACAATATAATGTCAAAGTTAAATGCTGTTTAAAGTGGTAATTGTCTGTCTTTCTCTCCATTCGAATACACACTCTGTAAAGATGTTTAGAGCGAATTAATTTCAACGATAATGCTGTCATATAACATGAAAAGTTAAGTTGCTTATCAGTATATTTTGATAAGCTACTTACATTTTACAGTAGCATTTGCAGGCTTCAAACAAACGCTAATGATGGAGTGCCAGTCACTTTGTCTGTCTCATAGAGAGCTTCTCACCTCATTTATCACCAGAGCTGCTCAGCCAGGGACCACGGGGCACTCCATTCCTTACAGCTGCCAGGATGTAGTCATATTTTATAAAAACTTTAAATCCTGTCTAACTATATCAAAATAGAATCCATTTGCTTCAGAAAGCAGCTGTGATTAAAGAGCATCAGGGAGCGCATCTCTGGCTGGCTCTGCATTCGCTGCAGCCGAGGGAAATTCCTGACTGGTGTTGGGAGAGGGACTGAAATACAGAAATATAGAACTGTGCCATGAAAACTGTGCCATGAAAACCCTACCAAAGCTGCAGGGAAAAGGAACACCCTCACTGTCTTACTTTGTGCAGTGGAGATGTAAAGTAAATGAAAAAGATGTGACTTTTCTGCGTGTTCCCCTTTTGATTTTGTTTTTTCCTCTCTTTTGGAAGTTGTGTGCATGTACTGAAGGTGAGGTTTCTGTTTGACTGAAACAGGGGCCAGGCCAAATACAGTGATGGAATAAGGTTTTAAAACAATTAAAAACTGAGATACTGATGATTCAATTTTCAAAGTCCACTTGTATTAGGATTCAAACCAAAATAAATGTCTTTTCTTTTTTTCATTTTTCTTTTTTGTTCCAGTTACCTCCCGTGGTTTGAAGTCTTTTATAAACTGCTCAATGTCTTGGCAGATTATTCAGCAAAAGGACAGGTATTATTCTAAATACTGACCCTCCTTTTCCTATCCCAGTATCAAATGAATGAGGGTGAGAGGATGAAAGCAGCTGTTTGAAGAAGTGCTTCTATCAGAGATGACCATGTGAATTATTAATCTGTATGATGCAGTGATACAGAAGATCATATTCAGCTTGGCAAGTGCCTCTGAAAAATAAATACACATTTAATTTTCTTTTTGAAAAAGATAAAGAGCAAGACTGTGGCTGTGGATCTGACCCAAGTCCCTGCAGCCACCCATGCTGGCTTTCCTGGCTCCCTGAGCTGTGTTGAGCACAGCTCCTGTAACTCTGCAGCTCCCATATTGCAGGGTGCCATCAGCCTCTGCCAGCTGTCTGATCCAACTTTGGCATGGGCAGTAAAAGTAGAACCGATCTCACAAATGAAAAATGTTTACCCACCCCTCTGGCCTACCCTGCCCTTCTGCCTCAGGGTTTACCTGGTGCAGCAGTGTTTGCTCAATATTCCTGGTTTATTCTCATTTCAGGATAGTCAGAGGAGTGAGCTCCTAGAAACATTTCATAAACTCACCATCCCTGAGCCAGGAACCTCTGTTCATCTTGGAGTGGTAAGTGTTGGGGGGAGATGAAAACTGAGGTGTTTAATATTCATTCCATGCCATACCAGAGGAATGTCCAAAGCAATCTCTCTCCTGGAGCTTGTACACAGGTGGTGTTTTCCTGTGAGGGGCTGTGGAATTCCCTTTTCACAACTGGGGCCCTCTGCTTCCCTCTCCCTAACCTCAGATGTGTTTGAAGTGCAGTGGATTGGGGGAAGGCAGTGTGGATTCCCCTGGGAATGTCTCACCCTGCCCTGGGTGACCTGCAGGAGGTCAGGAGCACAACAGGACATTTACTGCCCCCACTCTGCACAGCTCCTGGCCCTGGGGGTTTGAAGGGGGAGCAGGCTGGGAAGCAAACAGGCACTTACCTGGCACAGGGACTGTTAACTGCTCTCACATTCTCTGGCTCCTTCTCTTCCTTCCCCTGCCTCAAAAAACCTCACACAACAAAGCATTTATTTCATTTTTCTATTTTGTGAGAAAATTAGGCAAGCTCACTGACAGTATAAATGTGGGATTTTATTGATAGGATTGTATTTTGAATTGAATCTTTTGGGGGTTTTGTGTTGATTTTAGCAGCCCAGCCTCGTGCTGCAGGCTGTGCTGAGCACTGCAGGTGCTCCTTGCTGCTGCTGCCAGCTGAGAGTCCCTGTGGGCCCTCCTGGGAAGGCTCCCTTGCATTTCCTTTGCTCCCCTTGAGGCACTCCCTGGCACGAAGCAGCTCGTGCCCCTGCTCCCCCAGGGCTGTGTGCCCTGCTGCTCCCAGCTGGCCCTGGGCACGGCCCCAGCCCCTCCAGGACCCCTCCTGAGGAGCAGCTTCTGCTTGGGGATGAGCTGCCTCCCAGGCCAGGGGCGCTGGGGATATTCCAGTTTTTTCATACCAGTGGTTCCAAGGAATGCTGCAGCCTGTCTCCCCTTGTCTCAGACATTTCATGGGCAATGGAGCAAGAAAGGATGGAAAAAAGCAGCCCAGGGACCTGTCTTTCTGATTTTATTTTGGCTGTTTGTGAGCCCATTGAAGGGTCAGAGTGAGGTTCCTCTGTGTGGTGCAGCTCTCAGTGCTGTTCCTCTGCCTTGGCATTGCATCTTTGCAACCAAACCAAAGCAGTGAAGCATCAGAAAGCAAAACTTATGTTTCTCATTTAGTGTCTCCCTTCAGTGGAGCTGTGGTCCCTGCCTGCTATTTCAGGTTACAGCCTGATCAGGAAGCACTGAGATGGCTGAGATTTGTGTGCAAGAGAATTGTGCCAATTGTGGAGCTATGCCAAGGATGGAACAGCCTTTGAGGCTTCAGCCAGTAATTAATAAGTAGCCCTAAGACAAATTGTGAAAATTTTAAAGATTATATGAATTGTATGCAAGTCCCCTCCTTTCCAAAGCCCTGACCAAGGATCATGCAGATCATCTGTGCTCAGACTGGGAGCTGCACTGAACCTGGGCTCCTGGAATGCAGACAGTTAAAAATACTGAACAATGTCATGGATTATGAAAATTCAAGAGCAATGTAGTCTTGCAAAATGTGCTTTTAGGGTGTATAAAAGTGACCTAGAAGTTTTCAGTATTTCTCAGGTGAGCAGGCATTGAGCCTTAGGAAGCATGTCCCAGTACATTTCCACAATTCCCCCTTGGCTGGGATGAGCCTCTGTGGTGCTGTGGGTCACAGGAGGCCCTGCTGCTGCTGCTGCTGCTCCCTGGGGTCCATCCTGCCGTGGGCAGGGCAGGGGTAGCCTGAGTTCCAGCCTGCCTGGAGCTCCTGCGATCTCTCACAGCCACTGGGAGCCTGACTGTGGCAGCAGCTCTGAGGAACAAAACCATGGAATACAACTTTCCAGGAGCATTTGATACTTTCTATCCTACTGCATTTCCTGTTGCCCCTGGGATCTGGGAACCCAGCCTGTGGAGTCCAGGGAGCTCAGGCTGATAGTTGGGAACAAATGTTCTGTCATTTTTACTTAGCTGAGCAACTGCTGTTCCTGCTGATACCAATACCAAGCAATAGATTTAGATTGCTTTCAACATTATTGAAATAATCAATATTTGCTCTTTTTGTAGCACTCTTACTTTACTGTGCCTGACACCAGAGAACTTCCCAGTATACCTGAAAATGTGAGTATTTGGGAGGACCCTACACTTCATTGTTTCCATATAATGCCAGCAGCTACATAGATGACAAGCATTGCCCTGTTTGGGATAGATTTTATTCTATAAAATACTGAGCATTCAGGAGCTGCCAATCTGCATGTGTGGTTAAAAGCTGACCTGAGTGAAGGAGAAGGTACTGATGGGCAGGTTGATGTGGGTAAAACAGCAGCTCTGCTCACCCTTCACTTCCACCCCTCTGGAACAATGACCTGAGAGGGCAGGGAAGATGCTCTGCTTGCTCTGGCTCCTGAGAATACCAGCACACCTGGGCCCTGCAGAGCCACTTTTTGGGAGACTTTTTAAGCCTCACACAGCCGTGTGTGTTCCAGCCTTGCTCAGCTTTCCAGCCAGATGATGAATCTGTGGGGAGACAATGCTGGCATTTGCTTCTCCTAAATACTCTTTAATGTGCTCCTGCTCTGTCTCAGCCAAACTCCTGTGCCTGACATCTCAGTTTTCCTCCTGAGCATTTTGCGGTCGGTCTCAGCATCATATCCTTCAGCTGATGGCATGAAAGGGAAAAGGGAATCATCAAGACATTCCATCTCATTTGTGGGTGATTTGTATAGCAGATAGCATTCGGGGCTTTTTGTTTGCCTTTCAAAACACTGTTGCTGCTTTTTCTGTGTTGCAGACTCTTCATACTGACACATATTCTGACAGGAAATTTAATAGATGTGCTCTTTCTTCTGAGGTGCTTTATTTTTGTGCAAATATGATATGCTGGGTGTAATTCAGGAATCAATTCCTGAGTCTAAATCAGCCATCCAATCTTGTCCTAGTACATAGAATCATAAAATCCCAGAATGATTTGGTTGGAAGGGACCTTAAAGCCCATCCAGTGCCACCCCATGCCATGGGCAGCAGCACCTCCCACTATCTCAGGGTTGTGTAATTTCTTAGGAGGTTTTTATCTACGTGTTAAGGCAACCTTCCCGTGGAAGTGGAGCATATTAGGGAATAATACAAGGAGATTTAATGGCCATAGTCTGCTATATTTTAATCAATTGACCTGATTTATTAAAAGTTTCACACATCTTACCAGGAATTGCATTTAAAACACATATTAGCAAAAGTTTTAGTGGTGCCAAATTTCGAAGTTGGATGTGATGAGGAGCGGAGAGCTGCAGAGAGCTCTGTTGGAAGTGTTGACAAACCTCTTGGAATTACCTGACTTTGTGTCAGATCAGTGTGTTTAGTGAGTCACAGAGCCATTTAATTTAGCATGGGCACTTTTCTGTACCAGCAGCTCATTCCCTGCTTCAGGAGATGTGAGTTGTGTGATGGATGTGTAAATGCAGAGTGACTTCAGAAATAAATGGGGCTGGTTGCAGGAAATACAGTGCAAGACTGAAATTCCTGGTACTAGCTGTTGTGTTTCAGAAATAGCAGGTAAGTTAACAGGCTGAAATGATGGCATTTTCTTGGGGGTGATGTCCTGTGTATTTTTGTATCACTCAGTCCATCTTTCTCTTCTGATAGTGGAAGAGAAGAAGTGATTTTTAATCTCAAAAGTCAGTGTAGTCAGTGTATGCTTATTGATATTAGATAGCAAATGATCAGATGGATGATTGAACTGGGAATAAACTTTCAAAGGAGTGTGAGGGAGCTTTGTAGCGCTCTTGGTGAATTTTGAGAAGAGTGGGGATACCTGTTCTGAAAATCCCCCTTTTTACTGCCCCAAGAAAGGTTTAAATCCTAGGAAGCAAAATACATAACAATTACCCTGCAAACTGGAACGCTTTCATTTGTATTTATTTAACTCATTCATGGTTTTGTCACTTACGAGACATGTCTTTCAAAATACATGTGTAAGTCCCAATTTCAGCTTCAGAGCTGACAGCTTTCTTATAAATACAACTTCGAGGGAACACGTGAATCTCCTCAGTACCAATACATTTCCATGCAGCCCACATGGTTCCCAGGTGTCCTTGGCAAATCTCGGAGAGCAGACAAGACAGAAACCTTATAAATCCTTCCATCTGAAGGTACATTTGTGTGTCATGTCATCACAATAAAGTCGATGAAAGAACAATTGCAAATCGAGTCCCCACGTCTCTCCTCCCGCAGTGGAGGCTGCTGCCTCACGAACAGATCCGTGTGGGGCAGGGCTGCATCCTCAGGCTGGATGCAGGGGCTGTGTGCTGCTCGTGCTGTGCCCCTGAGCTGGGTGCCATCAAGGGAGTTCAGGGCTCCTTAAAAATTCCTTTAATTCCCACTATTAGCAGGAATTGTGTCGTCACGCGCTGTGTTTTGGCGTGGTGGAAGGGTGGGTGAGAGGGGGAAGAAGAGCCTAGAGAAGACAGCTTATGTTTAGACAAAAATATCATGTTAATCAGCACAGATGGGATGAGAAATACAGAAAAAGTACATGATAGTTTAATAGGTTTTTGGCAAAATGTGTTGGCTTTTTTTTTTCCTCCTTTGACTGTACCTGTCTGTGGCTCCAGCTCTGCTGTAACAAAGACCTGAATGATTGTTTTATTTTACATGTTTGAAGCCAACCATAATGAGCTCAGTTTTTATCCCTCTACATACTGGTACCAAAGTCTCCCAAATACAATGCTTAATTTTCCTTCAGCTCTTTGTGTTTGGATGGCAAGCTGGGGAACATATTTTTGCACAGTATGAAGCATCTTGGCAGACTTCTCAGGCCAAGTATCTTGGATCTGTCAAAAGTGCTAATAGGCTTTGTTGAGCTTCTTTAAGTTTCTAAATCATATTTGCTTTTTGCTTTTCTGCACTTTTTTATTTAAGGATGATTAAGATTGCACTTGAATTCATGACTAATCTAATTTTTCTCTCACATGTGCTTTTTGTATAAGGCTGTCTTTATCCTATAGCAACCCTTTCATGTCTGTAAGAAGCTATTTGGAAACAAATTCCCTAATTCAGCATTTTTTGGTATTACCTTTTCCTCCACCTCTCCCCTTTTCTTTAATTTCTCTGTTTTAAGAAGTGAAGTGCTCAAAGAGAATTCCCTTCTCCTTCCTCAGGTCCCCAGGGCAGTGCTCCTGTCTCCCACCCAGGGATGTCCGCCAAGTGAGGGGCTCAGTTCAGACAACTGGGTTTCTGTGTGAAAGGACCACATGTGTTCCAGTAGTCAGAATTGTTTTAGCACAGGCTGAGCTCACAGCCAAATTTGATGTACTAGAATTGGCCTCTGAGAGCTGCTTTTAGTTTTGGGATGTGGGTTTTTGGTACTTTATCAGGCAGCTTTGAAGTCTCCATAAAAGTGACAGAATTTTTTTTTTTCTCAGAGAAGTATCATGTATTCAAAAGCTGTGTGTGAAACATCATCACTCTCATTACTCCAAGACCCAGCTTCCCAAAACTAAGGGGAGAGGTGCTGCAGTTAGAAAGGCTTCTGCCATAAGATGAAATCCTGCTTTCTTTTGTTAAGCCACGTACTGGATGTAACACAATAGAAGGATGAAATCTCTTTGGTTTGGGGTTTTGTTTTGGTTTTTTGGGTTTTTTTTTGTTAAGGACTCTTGATTTTGTAATATATGAATCAAAAATGATTTTTCTCTCTCCCCAGAGAAATCTGACAGAGTATTTTGTAGCAGTTGATGTCAACAACATGCTGCATCTCTACGCCAGTATGCTGTACGAGCGCCGCATCCTCATTTGCTGCAGTAAGCTGAGCACTGTAAGTAAAATGCACAAGAATGTCCTCTCTTGACAATATTTAATTTCTTTTAATCACAGTCATATGTAGGAAATTAACAGATTATCTCCAGGTCTGTCTTTCAACCTCAGTTATGCAGCCCCAGCTCAGTTCTGTGCCTTATTGTGAGGGTTTTGTGGAACTTGTGTTGGCCCCTGATGTTCAAAAGAATTTTTTGGGTACAGGCATTTTTGTGGCTGTTTGGTACACGAATGTTCAAAGACTTATGCCATGGTGAAGTCCTTTATTCAGAATTTACTTGACAGGGAAAAAAAAAAGATAAATGCCACTGTCAAATGGATATTCCAGTGACCTCTCCTGGATGGACCAGAGGAGTGGGCTGAAGTACATTGACAATGCACATTTTTGCACTTGTGTTTGATAAGGTTTAGTCTTAATGCTCCTTAGGCTCCGTCAAGTGTCTGAGAGATGAAAGCTGCTGAATATTCTAGAGTACTCTCTTCTGAAAATGGCTGGAGATCAAAACAAGCACAGGGCTTGATTCAGTTCAAAGTTTTGTGTTATGCATTTCAAGGTTTAGCAGTCAATAAGATTGTGATTTTCTTTATGAAAGCAAATGCTCTGTGGTCGTGTTTGCTCTGTAAATGGCTATTGATTGCTTTCCTTTGTGAGTGCTGAAGATGGTTTAACTAATTTTGGTTTCTAGTGCCGTGGGCTGAGCACTCGAGCAGTCCTGGCTGAGGTACAGCTGCCATTTCCATTTCCTGGGGCTGGAACTGGTGTCTGGCTGTACCACCAGACCTGCTTGGTGCTTGAGATTCAAACTGCTCCATGGCAAGGGTGGAGCCACAAACCCTTGTAAGGATGGTGTGTCAGCACAGGGCAGAGAAATGAGAGGAGTAAGACCTCAGATTTAATCCCAGAATAACTATCACAATATCACTTTGAAAGTAAGTGAAAGGAGAATTATAATAGCCTCTGGCACCTAATAACAATTATTAATAATGTTTACAATCAATCCCACATTTAACTGAAAGCATTTAAGTATTGTAAAGTTTAATAACAGAAAACTTGTAAAATCTTAACTTCTCTATCTGCCACATGTTCTGTGTCCTCACTACTAAAATAAGGAAAATTCCATCCAGGTCTGGTAATGGAATAAAATGAAGGAGAGGTGTTTATTTCAGCAACCTGCAGAATGAAAAGAGCAGTAAATGATCAGAGAGGAGGGAAGAAGAGAAGGGCTGCCCAAAGCATTTCAGAGGTTGTGTGGTTGGTTGGTTTAATCTCTCCCTTTGTGACAGAGCCTGGGAAGAGGAATTACTTACCTGTCACTGTGCCTTCCTTAATGAGCCAGTTCACAAGTGGGGCTGGGTTTTTTTCCTCTCTTTCTGCTATTTCTCTTCCTTTTGCCTCTGTCCAAGATAAAAGCACGTCTGGTTCTTGGGAGGGAGGGGTATTCATACCGTGTGTTCTTAGCTTACAAGTTTCTCTATAAACTGCTGGCAGCTTGGGGTGCAGTGTGAGGCAGGTTGGAGGAGCTGGGCCCGAGCCAGCGGTTGCCGCTCGCCGTTCCAGCCCAGGAACATTCTCTGCTCCCGGCTGTGCTTGGCAGTGCCAAGGCCTCGTCCCTGGAAAGGAACCAAAGCCCCATCCCCGAGTGCAGCCAGCCTGGGGGGCTGCTCAGGGGCTGCTGCCTTTGTCTGGAGCTTTTGGCTTTGTAACACAGGACTGGAAGGGACCTGTTTGCAGTTCATTTCTGTTAGCTTCAGACTCAGGGCTTGAATTTAGTACCAGGTAAGAGAGAGAAAATGAAACCACCCTGTGTAGAAAGGCTTTTATGGTGGAACGAATTCTGTGGCACAATACATGATCTCAAGTTCAAATTTTGATTTTAAATATCCTTATATCCTTAAGTTGAATAAGATTTAGAGGTAACGTTACAAAGCTGTGTTTGTTAGCTATTTTATAAACCATATGTACTGAACCTATGGAGAAATTATAACTGTTTGCTTGGATTGTGTTCCTCTTCTCTACAAATGGAAATGCAGGTAATTTCTCAAAATGTTAGAATAGGTACTCCTGTTAAATTTTGTACATATTCTGTGATCTAACTCCTGAAGGAAGGCAGTGCTGTGTATCTGCTAATAAAGCATTGGTAGGAAAGCAGAATTGATTCTTTACTTTCTTGCCTCCAAGTTCAGCATTTGGAGCTCGGGGTTTGTCTCACTCACGCTGTGGTTTCTGTGTTTTTCAGTTAACTGCCTGCATCCATGGGTCTGCAGCCATGCTCTACCCCATGTTCTGGCAGCACGTTTACATTCCTGTCCTGCCCCCACATCTCCTGGACTACTGCTGGTAAGGGCCTCGGTGTGTGCGGCCCTGGGGTGGGTTCTGGAGGGGTGTGTGTGTCCCTCAGACCTCAGCCATGGCTTAGGGTGAGGGTGGAGCTGCTCCTGGGGACCCAGCTGGATAACCAGCACTGAAGGCCTGGAAACCAAATTGTGCAGTGTTAAAGGAAGTTTGCTCCTGTGCAGCTGATTTAAATGTTGTGTGTGCCTGTGTCAGGAATGTAAAGAGTTATCTCCTGTGGAAATGAGCCTTCCCCGGCTCCCTGCACAGGAAGAGCAGGTCCCAGTCATTTGCAGTGCCAGCAGGTGCCTGTCCCTGGATAATGGGCTTCTCACGTGTAATTAACACTTGGAGAGGCTGCCCCAGCTCCCCTCAGGTACCTGCTGCTCCAGGCTCAGATCGGTTATTCATGGATTCCTGACAAAGGCAGGGCCAGGGGCCCGCCCAGAGGGTGAAAAAGCAAAGCCTGGGGCAGGAGAGAAAGCCAGGAGTCCCTGAGCATCACCGAGGGGATTCTTTGGTGGCCAGCACCCAGCCATGGCAGGAGAGAGCTAGGCTGTGTGCAAAGATTTCAAAATGTCCAACTGTGGCAGCTCACAAATGCAACAACTGATTTCCTTACCCAGCCAGGAACTTTAATTGGAGAGGGAGCTGCACACTCAGTCATTGTTTGAGTAAGTCAATTTAGCAACAATTTATGAGCCATAAAATGTTTCCCAAACCAGAGTCCACCATCTATTTTGTAACCACGTGAACTTGGAGATGTCATTTTTGCCTGGGAGGACAGAGCACTCAGCTCCCTGCTCTAAGGCAGCATTTCTGCTTCCTGGTGTCTGCCTCTAAAGGGAAATGACTTGAGATTATTTTAAATAGAAGGGCTCCATTTAATTTTAATTAATGCCTGGTTATTTCTTTTGCAAATATGACATAAGAATTTTAGAGAGCTGATATAGGAACAAAACTTGAAGCAATGAGAATTCTTCAGTTCTTATGAATACAGAATATCTTGTTCATTCATTTGGCTGTGCTCATTTACTGACTGTGCTGTGATGTTTTGAATCTTCTCCTGCTCTTTTGAAACCCACAGAAGGATGGATAGAGTGTGTCACTCGAGATCTTTGAAAGTTTTTTGAAAAAAATAGATTCCACCTGTGATTATTTGCCTTTTGCTTCCCATTTCCCTCTTGAAAGGGTTTTCTTAAACTTACTATTTCTGTTCCCCTGCATTCCTCACTATGTACCTTCCCTCAGAACTGGAAATGCTGGGAGGCTGTGTCTCCCAGGTGTTTGCTCTCAGGGCACTGGCTCTGTAGTGGGGATGCTGACTCAGTGCTGCTGTGGATCCTCCATGGAGCTGGAATGACTTCAGTCACCCCATCCCTGTCATGGAGGCTCTTGAGGACAAGGGGCAGGAGGGGAAGCAAGAAATAGAGTGCTATCCTTTATTTGTATCTTTTAATTAGGCACTGCTCTTTAATGAATTCCCTCAGCCCAGGGAAACATTTTTGGTGCAGGAGACTAAAACACTGTCACTAGAGACCATAGCTTAATGCACAATTGCTTGTTTCCTTTGAATACAGATCAAGAGAGGAAGTACAGAAGCACAGCTGCTGTGCTGGTGGCTGGTTTGGGGTTGTTTGGTTGGGTTTTGTTTGTTTGGAGCACGTGCCAGCAGGTGCCAGAAGTCCTGGTTAGGGAGGTGCTGCCACCAAGCATCAACACTTAGGCACACACAGCTATTTGAACTGGCCAGATCATGTCCATCTATTTTATTGGGAATTCAGACATTTGGTGATGTGGAGGAAGCAGTGCATCAATTTCCCTCACTACTTTTCCCACTTTGTTTCTTGTTTCCATGAAACCACTCCCACTGTGACTCTTTGCTTCCTTCTTGCTCTGAGTGAATGTGTTTGGAATGAGCCCTGAGGAAAGCCTGGCTTTGCTGGGCTGGGACACAGCTGAGTGTGTGCTGGGCCCAGAGCTTTGTCACCAGAAGATACACTACATTTTGTAGGGTGATTAAAGCAGTCTTTTCTGTCAGACAGACAGCTTAGCAGCCAACATGAATCAATTCTGAGAGCACCCTGGCACAGCTGCTGAGCAAACACTTCTGTTGGGGCAGTTTGCCCTTTCTCCAGGAGTTTTTTTAGCCCCCTTTCTCCTGTTTTCTGAATCTGCATGTAGCCAGTGTGCTCCTCTGGTGAAGGCAGAGCTGGAGTCCTCCTGCTGCTGGGAAACAAAAATTCCTGCCTGGGGAGCTCTGGGTGGGCACTGCTGTTGGGCCTGGCACACCTGGGTACTCACTGAAGCCTCTTGTAGCTGCTCTCTCTCCTGGTGACAGCTGTGCATTCCCTGCACTGTTCCAATTTATGCAGTCAAGTTTCTCATTTGCATCAATTACCCCAATAAATTTTGGGAATTCTGTTGCATTTCAATGAGGAATGTGAAGAGAAACCAGGAGACTGCCCTGGAGAGGGAAGTACCAAGTTGTGTGGAGACATCCACCCGTTAAGTCAATGTTTGCAGAGCAAGACATGAATGTGGTAAATGTGCTCTCATCCATTTTCCTGGAACAGTGAAGCAAAATGGTGAAATCCCTGTGTAGCTGTAAATAGGAACCTTTTGGAGGTCCTTGGGCTTTTACATTGCTTTCCTGGTGAATTGCAGTATTTTTTAAGGCTGGGCTTTTTTCACTTAAGAAGAAATGTCCCTCTATTTCACCTGCTTCTCTTCCAATTAGTAGTTGCCCACCTCTTGGGAGCATAATTAAGAGGTCTCTAGTTTGCCTAAGGAAACGAATTAAAGAAATTGTAAAAATGCAACTGTAATAAATGGGCAATATATAGCCATTATATCCCCAAAATCCATATTCATGCTTATGCATTGCTACTTTAATGATTTGATATTTACCTATATAACTCATTTGATTATAAATAAGGCTGATTGCCTTGGAGCCAGCATAGCACAAGAGGAGTAATGACCCCTCTCTTTGTTCCAAAAGGCTCACGCAGGCACTTTGTTTGAGCAGTAAATACATGTGGTAGAAACTGATACTTCTTAATTTTGCACTTAATGGCTATTGGCTGCCAGCAAACAACTTTGAGTAATTAGTAGTTGTGGCTGTAAGAAGCCCCAGGACTGATGAAGTGTCAAGCAGTGGGGAAGGCCTGCTCTGAAGGGCAGTCTTTAATCTGCCAGGGCTCCCAGAAGGATTAAAGGTTGTGCTGAGTGTTTCTGCCCTTTAAACAAGGGATGCATCTTGCTGAACTTCACTTGGAAGTCTTGCAAGTACAAATCTACCCTGATCAAATATTAAAAACTGCTGGAGTGTTCCACATCTCAGGACCTGAATGGCATGAGGAGGGACAGCTTCAGTGTGCCCTGGGTGGGGAAGGGGGGACACAGCACCTTCCCCTGCACAGGATGCTAAAGGTCTGCTTAAATAATGGCCTATGATTAACTCATGGTCAAGAGAAATGGTGATAAAAACAATTTATGAAGCCTGACATGAACTTGGGACATTTACTTCTAGGTGTGTTTCCTATTCAGTCACATTGACGAGTGGTGATGGAAGAACAGAATCTCTCTGGTAGATTTTATTTGAAATATTTATGCTCTTTACCAGAATTGCATTTTACTGAGGTTATTTATGCAGTCCCTGTAATTTTTTTATGTGCTGTATTGCTGTTACATGGAACTTTTGTCACTTCAAAATTGAAAAGATGAGCCTTTGCATCCAAAGCTGATCCGTGTATCTTGAGCCATATCTCTTCTTGCTGCATTTGGCGATGTTAATAAATGGCTGGTTTTCAGCCATGCTGCACTCTGCCTGCTTCCTTTCATTCCATTAGCTGAGGTTCCACTAGCTGAGGCATTTGCAGGGTTCGGACTTCCTGCCGAGGTTCTGACTTTGTGCGCTGGGGATTGAGGCTGTGGCGTGGCTGCAGTCCTTAATTGGAACCACATTGGTGCTGGTGGCAGCCCGAGCCGAAGCCCTGCTTCCTTCTCTCAGCATAAAGTCCTGCCTGTTCCCTGCCTCTGAGCTGTGGCCGCTGGAGCTGAGGGGGTGCCGTTTGTCACAAGCCAAACGTGTCTGTGACAAAGCAGGGCGCAGCTGAGCAGCCCTCGAGTGTCACAGGCCAGTGTCCTGGGGAGTGTCACGCCTCCTGCCCGGGACTTGGGTGTGTGCCCAGCTGCCAGCCCTGGGATTCCCAGCAAACAGAACATGGGGGTCGTTCTGCGCTGGAACAGCCCCTCTGGGCTCTGTCCCGGGGGCTCTGGGGCTGCACTCACTGCAGTGACGTGGGACAGGCGCTGGAATGTTCTGCCAGTGAACTGCAAAGGGGTTGTGGAAGTTGTATGTGTTTAATGTCTCAGAAAGGAAAAAAAATTGGTTTCACATGGAATTTCTACAGCAGGGGCTGTTTCCACCTCGGTAGAGCATCCTACAGAGTGGCAGTTTGAGGGGGTGTATTAATAAACAACATAAATATTAATATGCTTATCAGTAAATATATTTTTAAGGTATTTCTCAGGAAAAGGAGAAGCAGGGATTTTTGCTGGCCTGGTGTCTCAGGAGCTTTTTCAGTACTGTACTGCTCTTACTGAGCAGTAGGCACCAGCTTAGAGCAGCAATATGGGAGATATTTTAATCCAAGGCAGTACAGTGACATTTCTCTCATTTTTTCATCTGAAATTGAAAATGAGCTCTTTGAGCTTCTGTATCCAAAGCGAGCCGAGCTCTATTTTAGAAGTTGTGTCTGTCTGTGTGCGCTGCGTTTCGCAGGCAGGATGTGCCATATTTGCAATTAGCAGCTCTGGCAGCCTCGCTGATGGCTCTGATTGCCTCGTGGGGGGAGGCTGAGAGAGCTCAGCGTTGGAAACCCTGGGCACCAGAGGAGCTCCGTGGGGCTCTGCTGCTCCTGCTGGGGCCTGCTCACTTCGGGGAAGGGGCAGGGAGCAGATCAGTCTGCCCTAAACACTGGGCTAACAGAGGTGCCACCCCTGTGGCCCAGGCTAACCTGGCCTAAGAGCCTCTGGGCTATTGAAGTTTTGTGTCCTGAGGGGACCGTTGGGCTCAGCAGATGTCCCAGGAACTCTGGAGTTTATCAGGATCTTCAAAAGTATTTTTTATTTTCTTTTCCAAATGAAAACATATCAAGATTTATACTTAAAAGTAAATTACTTAAAAATGTGTTTGTACTCATTCAAAGAAATCAAAACTTGTACTACTGGGTGATGTGTACACATTACCCCAGTGTTAGGCCTATGTTTAATAGCTGTCCTTAGGTACCTGCCTAAACTTAGTCACTTAGAAATTCTGTTGTCAAGAAAAAGTGAAGTCTTACAGCAGTGGGAGACTATTGCATACTAAAAACCATCCTTCAAATATGGACTAACGCTTTGATCACGTGTGATTTGTTTGTATATATGTTATCTATTATTTTTTAAGCAAAAGCTAATCCAGCATCCCAGTGTTTTCCTGTAGCTGATTTAATGAGTCATGTGTATTATTCAGGGTTACAAGGATGTAAAGCTGTGTTCCTTTTCCTCTCCACAGTGCCCCCATGCCCTACCTCATTGGAATACACTTAAGTTTGATGGAGGTAAGTCTCTCTCACCATTTCTGAAACTATATGTAGTGATATGATTTAGAGCCAGATTCTGCAAGCAATTACACATTCATTCATATGCTTAAACATGAAATAATGCTGTTAATTTGGGAGTGCTGGGGGAATTGAGTGAGGCACACATGATAAGGTAGAACATTCAGGAGCCCTGTTTGCTCCTGGTGCTCCTTGGGCACACTTCCTGCCTATGTGCTCCCCTCCCTGCCCTGGGGCTTCATTTAATCCCTTCAGTGCCTTGCTTGGACTCAGGCACAAAGGCAGAGTCGATATTAAACCACAATGTTGACAGTTACAGTTCTCTTTTAGGCTTTCGCAGACAGATTGTAATTTTTTAAATGTTCAAAAGATCTGAAAAGAAGGAACTTGCAGTTAATGTTAACACAAAGCTGGCAGAGCACCAGCCCTCACAGAAAGCTTCTCCTATAAACAATTCCCAGTAATTCATGTGATTTTTTTTTAAAACCTCTAAAAGTGGAAATAGCACATTTGCTTTTGCTTCCAGCACTGGTGAAACAGTGGATGACTTTCCTCAAAAGTATCAGGGGGACAACAAAAGATACTGACTTAAAGTGCCTCTGAAATCCTCATCCTCCCTGGCTGTGCCCTCCCCAGGAGTGCTGTGGTGGCAGAGCCATTCCTGCCCAGGGAGCTCTGACTGTGGAGCTCTGGCTGTGGAGCTCTGGCTGTGGAGCTCTGACTGTGGAGCTCTGACTGTGGATCTATGACTGTGGAGCTCTGACTGTGCCCCTTCCCCAGGAGTGCTCTGGTGGCTGAGCCGTTCCTGCCCCGGGAGCTCTGGCTGTGGAGCTCTGGCTGTGGAGCTCTGACTGTGGATCTATGACTGTGGAGCTCTGACTGTGGAGCTCTGGCTGTGGAGCTCTGGCTGTGGATCTATGACTGTGGAGCTCTGACTGTGGAGCTCTGGCTGTGGAGCTCTGGCTGTGGATCTATGACTGTGGAGCTCTGACTGTGGATCTATGACTGTGGAGCTCTGGCTGTGGATCTATGACTGTGGAGCTCTGACTGTGGAGCTCTGACTGTGGAGCTCTGACTGTGGAGCTCTGGCTGTGGAGCTCTGGCTGTGGAGCTCTGACTGTGCAGCTCTGGCTGTGGAGCTCTGGCTGTGGAGCTCTGACTGTGGATCTATGACTGTGGAGCTCTGACTGTGCCCCTTCCTCAGGAGTGCTCTGGTGGCTGAGCCGTTCCTGCCCCGGGAGCTCTGGCTGTGGAGCTCTGACTGTGGAGCTCTGGCTGTGGAGCTCTGGCTGTGGAGCTCTGGCTGTGGAGCTCTGACTGTGGATCTATGACTGTGGAGCTCTGACTGTGGATCTATGACTGTGGAGCTCTGGCTGTGGAGCTCTGGCTGTGGAGCTCTGGCTGTGCCCTCCCCAGGAGTGCTGTGGTGGCTGAGCCATTCCTGCCTAGGGAGCTCTGACTGTGCAGCTCTGACTGTGGAGCTCTGGCTGTGGAGCTCTGGCTGTGGAGCTCTGACTGTGGATCTATGACTGTGGAGCTCTGACTGTGGATCTATGACTGTGGAGCTCTGGCTGTGGAGCTCTGGCTGTGGAGCTCTGGCTGTGCCCTCCCCAGGAATGCTCTGGTGGCTGAGCCATTCCTGCCCAGGGAGCTCTGACTGTGCAGCTCTGACTGTGGAGCTCTGACTGTGCAGCTCTGACTGTGGAGCTCTGGCTGTGGAGCTCTGGCTGTGCCTTCCCCAGGAGTGCTCTGGTGGCTGAGCCATTCCTGCCCAGGGAGCTCTGACTGTGCAGCTCTGGCTGTGGATCTATGACTGTGGAGCTCTGGCTGTGGAGCTCTGGCTGTGGATCTATGACTGTGGAGCTCTGGCTGTGGAGCTCTGGCTGTGGAGCTCTGGCTGTGCAGCTCTGGCTGTGGAGCTCTGGCTGTGCCTTCCCCAGGAGTGCTCTGGTGGCTGAGCCATTCCTGCCCAGGGATCTCGGCCTCCCTGGGCAGGGTGGAGAGCTGGCTCTGCACGTGCCCCTGGACATGACTGACCTGTGTCCCTGGTTTAGACCCTGTGTGTGAAAACAAAGCTTTCCTGTTCAGAGTACAGAACAGTTTAGAGAGCTGGGCTTTACATCACATAAAGGAATTGTTCTTGTATTGTCCATAAAAATGTGTAATTTCTGGAAATATTGATTAATATTCTTTCACTAGGACAAATGTGTGTTTGTGTGTGCTGTGTAATATCCCCCTTTTTCCAGCATTAATGGGAGGTAATTTTAGAAGGCAGTTTTTTCATGAAAAGATAGATTAAATGTACAGGATGTCTTTTTTCTTCTCCTTACCATCCTGGGTACAGATAATTTTTTTTATACCCTTTATACTGCTAAACCAAGTAAAGAATTGCAGTACAATGTGTTTGTGAATAACTAATTAGTTTAAAAGTCAACATGTACATTTGTTTGCACATCATATGCTCTGTTCAAGGGGCTACTCATAATCACCCTTGGATACTGCACAGGCAGGAGAGTGGGAATATCTAGGAAGAAATGTATTCTTCATTCAGATCAAGAAACATTCTGCCCCACATCTGTCCCAGGCAGTCATTGGTGTGATAACTGTGGTATCTGTAAAAGACAGAAGAGAGCTGCTAGGGGCTGGGAGAAGATCTCCATGCACACACTTGGCAGCTTTCACAGGTGTTTGTGCTCACAACGAGCTCTGTGGTTGGCCTGGGAATGGATATAGAAAAGAAATTTAATAATTGCACCTTGGAGTTGCTTTGTGTGATGTCTCACTCCTGCCTTCTCCATAAATCCATTGCCTCTTCCTTTGTCTCCGTGTTTCAGACTGCAGGGCTCTGTGGGCCTTCCAAACTCCATCTGTAAAAACTCAAAAAAAGGAGTTGTTCTTGGAGAAGCCAATTTTCATCCATTTTAGTAACTTGTGAAAAAATCTGTTTAGTACTAAATCCAGTCTGGCTTTTGAATAGCCAGAGATTCTGGAACACAGACACACTTTGGCAAAGTACAGTTATTCAAAGTGCCTTATCAAATAAATTAAATAAATAAACCAAACTGTTTTCTCTGCTCTTATGGATAAATTCAGTTACACACAGAACTGCATCTTAGAGCTAACTGTGCTTTTTTCATTGAAAAATAACATAAAATTCCACAGTGGTGCTGGATCTGTCTGGTGGCAAGTGCTGCAGAATTTTTGTGCCCTGGGCAAGGGAAGGTGACATTTGTCACATGAGCTGAACACTTCCTAGGTTATCTCTAGTTTGTGGTGCTGAATGCTCACTCTATTTGTCCCTTTCTTCATATGGAAAGTTGTGTGGGTTTTTTGTTTAGAATAACATTATACTTGAAACAGCAATTCTTCTTCTCATGACCTGACAGTTGTGTTTGTTTAAAAATGTACCATCTCTTCCATATCAAAATAATTTTATAAACTGGAACTACACACTACTGCCATTATTCAGTATTCCTTTTTCTCTAAATGCTGAAATGTCACAAATAGGACTTCAGAAGTGTTGTGTTAATGCACACCTTGAGTGTGGGGATCAGGGCTGCCCTGCCAGCCTGGCGCTGTGCCTGGGGCAGGTGGGCCTTGCCCTGGTCTGGAGCCCAGGGGGTGCTGCAGGAAGGTCTGGAGCAGCTCCCATGCCTGGGTTTGTCCTCCTTGTGCCAGCACTAGTGGCAGCCTCATCTTGCCAGGGAAGGCAAGATGGATTTGGGATATAGGAAACAATTCTTTTCTACCTCTAGTCTTGTTTCTGTGGGTTTTGCTATCCCGGCGTTGGAATGGGGCCTCTGGAAGAAGCAGAAGTGTTGGTGATTTTAAACAAAATCCAGCCTCTCTCAGCTCTCAGATCTTTCCTGAGCTGTTTGGTACCTTAAAGTTAGTTTGCAGTTTCCCGTGTTCCACGGGGGCTCTGTAGAAGGAACAGTTACTTTAATAGAAAATGACAAATTTTTCTTATGATTAAAATATCAAGCCTATCCATTGACTGTTAAATCTAATTTGCTGTGACTGAAATGTTCTCCAGTGAGATAAGATAATCTCCTGTTATAGGTCAGAGGGCTCCAACTGATTTATGGGGGAGAACCTTGGTAGAAAATACAGAGCTGTGTTTTGTGCTCTTATTTTTCAGCTTTTCTATCATCACCTAGTTAGTCATTCTTTATAAGATTTCCATTTAGCAATCCATAAAGTGACTTCAAAGAAGGCTAAAAGTTTATAAGCTGTTGGATAAGCAAGGCTGGAGCTATCACATGAATAATGGAACATGCTTATGGAACTAATTGAATTCATATTAGATGAAGATAAGTACTTAGTAGTGATAAATAATGAGATAGGAAAATGAAACGCTATCAAAAGAACACACCCCTTTCACTATCCTATTTTCTGCCTGTGCACTGTAGGCTGGTTTAGTCTTCAGATTATATAAAATTGCTCTGTTTGTCGGAAGCCATGTCAAACTTAGTTGCAGCCTTTTCCATTTTGTCAGAGAAAAGGATTGTTTCTGCAGTTGTTTGTGCAGGGAGGTTATCAGTGTGATGGTGCTGATGGAGGGGGAGTGCCCTTGACCTAGGAGCTCCCCGCTGGAGTTGGGGCACATGTGGTTTTGATTGACTGCTGGGGATGGCTGTGCTGGGCTCTGACACGGGCAGCTCTGGCAGCAGGCTCCAGGAGAACATCCACCCTTTCCTGCTCTGTTTGGGGCACAGACCCAGCGTTTAGAGTTAGAATTAGTCCTTGCAAAAGTATTTAGTATCTTTTAAAATTAATATTCCAGTTATTAAAGGACTTTTTCTGGGACTTCAGAACTGTAATTCTTGCAAGATGATCCAGGATGAATTTGTGTGTGACATTGCACATTGCATTTCAGAAAGTTCTTCTAACCTTTTTCCTAAGGAAAGAGGACACTGGTGTATATCATAAAAGCTTTATTAATAGAATTTTGTTTTACTTCAACCTGGTATCAGTAAAACTGTTCATGTGAGGAAAGAAATGCTCAGTGCAATTCCTGTTGTGTGACTGGGGCAGGGCACGGAGGCTGATCTCACCTGGTGTCCATAATGTCTCCTGTGCAGCCAGGGGAGCGGAGCTGGGGCTCTCAGAACCCCCACATGCATTTGGGGGGCACTTTGGGGCACATTCCCTGCTCCTGTTCAGGGTGAGGATGCCCTGCTCAGGATTCAGTGTGACCACAGCCCAATTAGCGTGCACTGAGTCTGAGCTAACGAGCCCTGAGCATGGTTCTGTGAGCTTGGGCTCAGGCCTGACCCTGCCATGGGGGTCCCCTTCCCACAACACACCCTGAGAATCCATTGACCGCTGGCATCTGCCACTGCTACTGTTAATTGTTAATTATATTTTCGATTGGGGTGAGAAGCGTTAATTACCTTTTCCCACCCATTTATACTTAGTAAATCAATGCTTTTTCTACCTGTAACTGAGGAAGTGCAGCTTTTCCATTGGATTGTAATGAAGGGTTATAGATTAACTTAAATCCAGGTCTTAAACCCCTAAATGCAATTTAGCCACTCACAAATATTCCCAATATGGCTGCACGTGGTTTCGGGAGTATTGATAAAAATGCATTTAAAATATGGCAGATTACTTATGGAACTGTCTTTTATCTAGTTCTTGGGGAAATGGAAATAAGAGCCATGTTTTAATCAGGGATTCTGGGGGCATGTTTGAGGGTGAGTTTGCAGAAAGGGAGCCCTGCAGTACCAGGCGGGCTTCCCCAGCAGCAGAGAGGTTTTTCTCTGTGCCACGGCAGCACGGGTGCTGTTTGTCACTCAGCTGGCAACAGCTGCTTGTGATAAGGATCTGGGGAATCACCTGTAGAGGTGGGGGTGCCGGGCGGAAGGGTGGGAGATGGGCTGGGGGCGCAGCCCACCTGCTGTGCCCCGATCAAAGGGCCCGGGGTCAGGGGGCACATCCCGCTGAGGCAGAGCTGTCTGCTGAATAGCCATTTCAGATTGTAAATCTGGCCCTGATTTCATTAAGTCCTTCTGGCTGCTCTTGGGGCATGAAATAATAAAATTTTATATCCGCTGCCTTTCCTGCTTCTGGCAGCCAGATTGACACATTGTTGTCTGCAGCGTTGTGGTGTTTTCCTTAAGAAAATAAATGGAAGCTATTAATTCAGTAGAGACAAGTCATTAAGCAAATGGATTTTAGACTTGTTGTGAATCATACTTTCTTAACAATTTCAGACCTAGTGCACAGGCTCACTAGAATGTTAGTTTTTGTTAGGAGTTCTGCCTTTCCAAGAGAATTGGTGGAAAGTATCACCCTTTTACTGTTACAAGATTTTTAAAGATGCTGATCACGTTTGTATTTGGTTATAAAACCTCAGGATCAGCTTGGTTTCTGTTTTGGCAGCAATTTCGCCGTGAAGTTACGCAAACCTGGCTTGTGGGAGGAAAGGCAGGGGATGCTGGTGTTTGATGGTTATGGAGGTTTTTTAGTTTTGGTTTAAATTAAACTATTCAATAAAATTGTTCACCTGAAAGAAGTTTAACCTGGGATTCCTTTATGACAGAAAATGCAGAACCTGCCAAGTGTAGCCAGTGCTGATAAGATAGCATTTAGTGTAAACTGGTGCTACTGCTATGGCTGAATGCTGCTTCTAGAGTGGGATGGAGGAGCACCCTTCATTCTTCTATTAGAATATGGTTTCTGTGTTTTTGTGAACTTCCACATAAAACATTTAAATGACTCAAGAGTTTGGCTGCCTGTGAGCAGGGCAGGCACCCGGACTGTGCTTATTTACGGACCTGGTGTTTAAGGCCCCCCGGAGTTTGTTTGAAAAGTTAAGAGATTTTCACAGTAAAGGTGCCATTTCTGAAATTTAAAGTGCTCTTTTCACCAGGAGATAAGTTCTCTCTGATTAAGTCAGTAATTCTTACTAAGCCATGTTTATAGAGGCCATAAACAATGGGTTCAGTGTGCTTGTTAAACCAGCTTTCCATACCTCTCCACTCTTTTAAAAAGAGACATTTAAAATAAAAGGCAGGTGTAGATGTTAGTTTGATTTAAATGGATTTTAGGTGATTAATTATGGCTACAAGTAATTGGGCAAGGATGGTTAAGAAAGGTTTGCAGGAGTGAGATGTGATGCACATTTTCGCTGAATTTCTCCTTTTGACTCAGTACATCCCTGACCTGTGGGAAAATGAGATGAGGAATCTGTAATGTTCATATTTCCACTTAGTCCTTGCTTATCCACATTTCTTTTCAGCAAAATATGAACCTACTGAATCCAGCCCAGTCTACTGCACAGGTATCACTTGTAAAGTTTTGTTTAGTTCTTCAGGAAGTTGTGAAATATGGACTGGAGCTGTGTGTGGCTTGTGGCTGTCCCTTCCCATTCCTCAAAATTATGACAACACACAAACTGTATGTGGGAAAAATTAGCTACGTGTTTTTGTGATTCACAGAATCCAGTGGGGTTTAATGTGAGAATTGCAGCTGAATGATGGGAATTTTTACTCAAATTCCAACAAGACAGTAAATCTTTATCAAAGATGGTAGTGACAGGAGAGATGACAAAACCAACTAAGGATTAAGATGAACTGGTCAGTCTGCATTTCTGTAGAATGAGCCACAATCAGACCATCAAAAAATTATATGTTTTTGAATGCATTGCAAGACAGATGCTATTAATCAAGTCAGTCTCCAGTGTTTTATTAAATCTGAGGGCTGGTCTCCAGGGAAATCCACTGCCTTTGTACAAATATTGCAGATCTCTACAGTGAGGTTGAGCTCTTGGCGGTGCAGAGTTTATCAGCTTCCTTTAGGATACGATGATTTCTGGGCCAGGTGTGGGGTGATCACACTGAGCAGCATTGACAGTCCCTGTACCATGGGGGCATCCTTCTGGCTTCTCCCCCTGGCTGAGCCCTGCTTGGCACTGTGCTCCAGAAGAGTCCCCATTTTGCTGAAGGGGAGGTGCAGATTCAGCACCAGAGGCACAGAAACACCCCTGGCACGTTCACCATTGTGTGCTGCTTCTTTGCAGCAAGCAGGAGAAGGGTTTCTGTCTTGTCCTGCCTCACTGAGGCTGACAAGCTTCTGGCTTTGGTTAAGTACTTTGCAAGAGCTTTTTGTTGGAGGTTTTTAGACTCCTCTGAGTATAAGTGGGATTTTTAATTTTCTGAAGCAGGAAGGAGCAATCAGTTTGTCTGGTGCTTCCGGACTCCTAAAGGAGCGAGGCTCCTGGATTGCTTTAGAGTTTATCAGATGCAGCCAACGGGGTGACCTTTGGTTCCTGCAAGCCAAGTACCTGCTTTGTCAGGCAGCGCTGCTGCTCTTTATATGGAAAGCATTAAATGTAATATTCTTCTATTTAAGTTAAAGAAATGTCTCATGAAGACCTAAACTTAAATGTCTACAAAGTGGGTTTTATGGTTGTTGGGTTTTTTTCAGCCCTAAGTACACAGCAGTTTGCTTTATAGACAGAGGACTGAGCCTTGAAAACTGAGGGTAATTATTTAGCTGCCTAAGGCTCAACTTTGCCATTGTTTTAGGACTTGAGTTCCTTTCTTTTAAAGGAAACAATTCCCTCCACCCCACAAAACCTTAATTAAAAATTGAGTATGTTTTTGTTCATTTTCCTGCTCAGTAACTTTCATTTGCTCCTTCGTGTAGGTAGGTAGGTCCTTAAACATTTTTTACAGTGTCACTGGGAAATTTCCTCAGTTACCATATTCTATAATTCCAGTTTTTCTGATTTTGAATTTTCAAAGCTTTATTTGAAGAGATTAAACCTGTGTGATTAGTCAGTCAAAAAAAAAAATCAAGTCTCCTGTTAGTGGAAGAAGTGCTAAGTGTTTAAATGCTGCTCTGTTTGGTATCAGTGACTAAGCAGGGAAATCAAGTCTGGCAGTGTTTAAATTTGCTTAGATCACAGATACCTTTAGACACTCAGAGTTACAGGTACTGATGATCACTCTTTTGAGAAATAGGTTCTTTTTTTCTCTTCAATGTATAAGTACTGTTACAGGAGATATGAACGTCGGACTAGACCAGAAACTTCCCCTCAATTCATGGGAACAGCAGAGAAAGTTCAGAATTACTGACCAGGATATGGTGGAATTAAATTTCTCTTAGCTTTGGCTTTTCCCCCCATTTTAATTATTTACTGATTAGGCTCTCATAGGATCCAGTTTACTTAAATGCAGTTGTAAACTTGTCTTTATTGTACTTCCAAAATTCAACCTGGAATTTGGAAACCAGGAATTGAGAGTTACATTAAGTCAGGGAAAATCCACTCTTTATTGTTATTTAAATGAATTTCCGAATATAAAAAAATTTGCTTGAAATCTTGACTTGACTAGAGACTGTTAAACGTGCAAACAGGACACCAAGACAAACATTGGTAGAGGTGCTTGAAATAAATCTTTGTTTGAATACTCACAGACCCTCTGGTTTGACAAATTTCAGTGTGCATGTTAAGAACTTCTGTCTGCCAGCTGAAGGTTAATTTTTTTAGCATTGTAAACTGAATAAATAAAACAAATGATGACAGGAAGTCAGGAATGTTGATTGTGTTTAAAATGGTTGCGGTTCACTTGTGTCCTTTATGCATAAAATTTAATTTCCCATACTTACATTTTCCTTTCCCTTTCCTCAATTTGCTCACCTGTAGAAAGTAAGAAGCATGGCCCTGGAAGATGTGGTGATCCTTAACGTAGACACCAACACACTGGAAACCCCATTTGATGACCTTCAGAGCCTCCCCAACGATGTGGTATGTATGGAGTGATGGCCCAAGGGTTCAGTTCCTGCTGGCTGTCACTGAGGGGTCTCACTGGGAGCTCTCATGGCAGCACTGAACTGCTTTCCCTCAGTTCCTGCTGTCCCAGAGTGTTTGGGAATGTTTGTTTCAATATTTACACATGTGCATTGAAGCCTCCCAGTGAAAATCAGCTAATGAGCTAGAAATCTGCATCTTTAGTTAACTGTTGTTTCCAAATGAAACTGTGTCTTGTGACTGCTTTTGTCCTGTGATTGCTTCGAGGAATTTCATGCATTTTATATCCTGACATATGATATGAAATGGATGCCTTCACATTCACTTCAATCACTGCTAGAATTCAGAACTCATTTTCTTTCTCATTCACCGTTTTTATTGGTAAATTATTTCATGTTTTTAATAACTTGATAGTAATGGCATATAAATACTTGACATTTAATGGGATGCAAAGACATCCCACTTGCTGCTCCAGTCATCTCAACTGGAGGAGCTGAGAGGGGAGAGCAGAGGAGTGAGAGTGTCAGGAGCTGTTTTCAAGGCAGAGAGTGAATGTTTAGGAGAATGTGGCAGGGGAAAATCTGGATTTCCTTTGCTAGTTGGGAATATTGCACTGACGGTCAGATCTGAACATTCTTATGTGCAGTTGAGAAACAGAATTGAGGTGCAGGGAGCTCAGTGTAAGCTGGTGTGTGAGGAGAAGCTGCAGTGAGGGTGAATGCCCAGAGCCTCCTGCTGTGGCACCCTGGCATTCCAACAGGATCCCTTCTTCAAAAACAGGCAGCTCAGGAGGACAGGGCCATCTTGATTGTGAACATTTTGGCTTTAGTCAAACATTTAGTCTGTAAAAGTTGATTCCATTATTTTTTCTGGCATTATATAGTTTTTCATTTTGATTTCACTCCCAGCATCCAAATCTGCCAGCTGGTCACTGCTCGTGCCATTATCCACAACCCGGGAATGACAGACTTGTAAATTTCATGGAATTATGTAAGAAATGTCTGGATACAGGGAGCACGGGGCCTCAGACACGTATATGATTTGTCAACAATCAAGTATTATATTAGATTTTATGAGACTTCATTAAAGGAGCTGTTGTGGGCACACTGTAGAACATCAGAAGAGACTTCTCCAATAAACACAGAACTTCAAGCTTTGGAATGTAATAAATTTTAAGAGACTTCCTTCCTTTCATTATTTACTTTTACTTCACTTTTATAACAGTAGAGAGTTGTGTTTTATTAGTTCAAATTTCTTGATTCAGTTTTCCACAGGTCTATTTAAGAGCTCCATTTTATCTCGGAGGATGTTGAGAGCAGAGCAGAGGAAGTGCTGCCAGCAAATTCAATTAACTGGCAGGGCTCACCAGTAGCATATATGGGGTATTTTTTTTCACAACTGCTATATAAATACAGCTGGGATTAATATTTTTCACAACAAAGCTTTAAGTCGAGTCATGTTGCGTTGTGTAATTAATGTTTGGGCTGGGGGTTTCTTGGGATTCAGCTCATTGTTGCAGTTACCTGGATGAAGCAGCTCCTCCTCCTCCAGGTCTCTCCCTTCACACGGCTCCAGAGTTGGCTTTGACCACTAGAGAGCAGCTGCTCTGCTGTGCAAGAATTGAATTTCTGTCAGTTCTTTCATGCATCATGTGTTTGGAACTGTAAGTGGATCAAGTTGTTCATCTCAGCAGGGAGATGCTAAAGCCAATCCATTATACTTTTTTTTCTTTTCTTTTCTTTTCTTTTTTTTTTTTTTTGTTCCTTTTTGCTTCCCTGGGAGATTTTGGGAGTGTGTCTCCCCACTGGTCTTAGTCTAAGTAGGTGCATTTATGATCTGAGAAACTAAAAATGTCTTCAAGAGTTTCCTGATCATAAATGCTTTTTATATCAAACTACTTTGCCAGTTTTGCTACTTAATGTGAGCAGTGAGCAATTCATGTGCTGCTGAATAGACAAAATTTACTTTGCTAAATCAAATCTATCTATATTCATCAGTGAGCAAAAACATCTTCTCTGTGGTGCATTCACCATCAGGTAATTAATCCAGTGGAAAATTTCTAAAAGCTGTTTTTTCTCTCTCCTTGAACTGCTTTTTAAATCAAGTGAATGAAGTCTTATGATTATTTTAGAGCCTCAGGTAGTGAGTTGTTCTTGAGTTTCATGATAGTGATATTGCTACTAAACTGGTTCTTGGAAATCAAGAATAAACTGTTCTTTATTCTCTAATTCTTAGGATCCAAACAAATATAGGACCCAGTGCAAAGGTCTTTCCAGTTAGAATTTGTGTCAGAGGAGCTGGACAGAATTGAGGCAGTTCCAGCAGAGTCAGCTCACGTTGTTCCTTTGCCCCAGTTTACCTCAGCAGTACCTGCTGGCTGTCAGGCTTCTGAAGTGGTCAGGTCATGTCCCTGAAAATCAAGATTTGTACTACTGTGTTACTGCTTAACTATTTGAAATGTGAAAACCTGCCCCTTCTTCACCTTCTGCTTCTGATGTATTGCTGGAAATCTGGCAGCATGAGAGCACCCTGGGAAGTAACTTTCCTTTTAAAATAATCAATATTAAAAAAAGAGATTTATTAAGGACTGTGATTACAATAAGTGCATCTGCTGCTGACAAGTCTCCTACACCACCGTCTGTGTTGCAGCGAATAGCAAAGAGGGGGTAGTAATTTTTTTATACAACCCGTATGGATTTTTCATGTATTTCCAAATAAGTGTCATCTTGTAGTCATAGTTGTAGTCAGAGCCCCACATTAGAAGGAATAAAGTACAAGCTTGTTCTGTCAGCTCGTGGCTGCTGCTGCACGAAGGCCTGGGGGTGGCTGGGGTGTCCCAGCTCAGCTGGGGCTGCTGCTGCCCCTCTGCAGCGAGCGCAGGGCCAGGGCGCCAGGGCTGCTGCTCTTCACTCCGGGAAGGAATGAGCTGCTTGCAGGGCAGCCAGGGGTGCCAAACTGCAGCTCTGTAGCCAAAGCATCCTCCTAAAGGTGAATCCATTTCTATTTCTTAGGCTGTGTTTGCAGTGGAACATTTCTTGCTTTATTCATGTTGACAACTGAAAAGCCTTGGACCTAATTAAAAGAATTTCCACTAGCACCTTTACTGAACCATTTCATTCTGCTGCATTGCACAGATTGCATTCTGAAACATGGTGAGAGTTGAAATTGGACCTTTAAACTTCAACTGCCAGAAGTATAAAAATCTTCTTTAAAAACACTCTCAGGGTAGACTGCATGTATATGTGTCTGTTTGGTTAGAAATAATCTTCATTTTCAATGGTCACAATTTGAGGTTTTTTTTAAAGTATCACTGTCTCTTTAGGCAGGAAACAACCCTAATTCTGCTTGTATAGTCTACTTTATATTACATACTAATTTTTTTCCACAGAGTACACATGAGGGTGTTTTGGGGTGGATTTTTTTGCTACTTGTTAGTATATTTAAATATGTCGTTAACATTTTTTTGTTACAAAATTGGCATGCCTATTGCAGTAATCCCACTATATATAAAATGGACATCCTACAGTGTTTGAGGAAGTAGCAAAATACCAGTCAATGTTCTACTTCTGTCCCAACCAGGGGCGCTGAAGCACACAAAGGCTGTGGTCAGCCCTCTGAACTCCTGGTTTGTTTAAAACAAAGCATAGAGCTTTTTCCTTTTATATAGACAGAATGTTCTGTATCTTCACATGAATGTTTACAGAAATGCCTTATAACAATGTTGGAGGTGGATTTGAAAGCTTCTCAGAGCTCTGGATATTTTATTACACTTTTAAGAACTACCTTTAAATAGTTTATATAAGTTAAAATAGAAAATAAAAGCATATTTCAACCTTACAAGTCTGGACCCCTTCAAACATGAAGTATGCTGTTTGGGTTTGGAAATCTGGTGAAGCTTTTATATTTAGAGGATTACAGAACTCCTTGAGGAACGTTATTTCACTGAATAGGAGTCAGCTTATTTTACGGGCCTCAGACTAAATCTGGTATCATATGTTATGTTAATATGGGTTTGTGGGCTCATTAATGCGTGGATCATTGGCATAAGCATTCAGATTTATAAACAGTGCTGGACACACTCTTGGTTATTTCTGTTATGCTAAATATTGAAACGCCTTTTACAGCAGAATCTGCAGAAGATTTAAAAGGAAATGTCTTTGCGAGTGTTTTAGTAAACACAAGTGCAAAGATAACATCTAAAAGAAAAGCCAGTAGTACCCAGCATGGATTCTGTATTTAACACCTCTGGAGCACGACAGGGAGTCACCGTGGAGCCCCAAAGCCAAGGCTGCTGCAGGAGGAAGCCGAGTTAGTGTGAACTGAGGCACTCACAAACAGCTCAGGAAAATCAGGCTGCTCTGGGCAACACCCAAGACTGAGAACATTCTACTCATCTGTAGGATTTTGGAGATATGGATGAGGCCAGGGCAAGCTTTCGTTGGGAGCTGGAGGATGGGAAGAAGGTCTTGAAAGTTAATTTGAATATTTGAACCATCAGCTTATATTTTATGAGGTGTCATTCATACTTTCTGAACACGGTTAGTTATGGTCACTTCTAGAGGATCTGCCCACTCTGTCAGTAATATTCCTACAGTGTTTCTTGCACAGTGTGAATGAGGTACACAGAGCTACCCCATGGAGATTTCCAGTATGGCACTTGGAAAAGGAAGATTTGCTAGTTATTGGCTCTTACTGTTAAATTCATCATATGGATATTTATGGAGTCAGTCGCGTTCTCCTGCAAAGCGGGTTAACTAGGGATTTCCTGCTGTTCTGCTTTCCCCCGAAATTGTGGCTCCTGCCTGTTTTCTGTGTCAGGTATCTCACTAAACTCGGGGTTTGTGCATGGCACGGCCGCAGCCTCTAAAAACACCAGCTGAATTCCTTTCCAGAACCAGCACCCAGATATTTGGGTTTGTCTTGCTCTGTGTTGTGAGATCTGTGTCAGAACCTCAGCGTGTCCGGTTCTGTCTGCGGCGCCAAAGGCCGTGAGGGAATCCTGAGGGGCCGTGAGGGGCCATTAGGGGCCATGAGGGGCCGTGAGGGAATCCTCAGGGGCCATTAGGGGCTGTGAGGGGCCGTGAGGGAATCCTGAGGGGCCGTGAGGGAATCCTGAGGGGCTGTGAGGGAATCCTCAGGGGCCGTTAGGGGCCATTAGGAGCTGTGAGGGGCCGTGAGGGAATCCTGAGGGGCCGTGAGGGAATCCTCAGGGGCCGTGAGGGAATCCTCAGGGGCCGTGAGGGGCTGTGAGGGAATCCTGAGGGGCGGCCGGGGCAGGACACAGCGGATCCTGGCCAGGGCCGAGGTCTCAGCAAGCAACTCCAGAAATGTCTAAGAACAAGAAAAAAGCCCCAGAACACAGGGAGAAAAGTGTGAGGTGTAACGAAAGGTGGGAGAAGCTGTCGGGATTGACATCAGAGAAGGGGAGGCGGGGCTGGGGCGGGGAGTTGGGCCGGTGAAAGGCGGCGGCAGGGGATGGTGTTTAAGTTTCTTTGTTTCTCATTATCTGACTGTAACTGCCAGTACATTAAATTAATTTTCCATGCTGGAGCCTGTTGCTCATGGGTGCACATCTCCTTGAGCCCCCGAGCCTGGTGTGCGTGTTTGCCCCGAGTGCTGCTGAGGGGCAGCGGGAGGGCGGCTGGGCCGGGAGCCTGCTGAGGGTGCCCTCGCGGCCAGGAATGCAGCCCTGGCGGGGTGACTGCCCGTTCGGCCTCTGAAATGTGAGGGAATGTAACCTTAGAAACCCCTTGTATTTGTGGCGAATAGATTCTTCAGACCTTCAGGATTTGTTCCTACCTTGGTGATGGATGGCCTGATGGTGTGGAGCAGTTTCTCTTACTAATCTGATGTTTGAATTAATTTTGTTGCAATTATTTCATGGATTCTAATAAAGAGTGACACAGTTTCATAGACTACCTTTAAAAGAGTACTCAACAGCATGTTAACAGTCGATTTTAAGTAGGAGGGCAGTTTCAGTGAAGCTTTTAGTATTCTATTGGCTTCTGAATAGAATCCAAACAAATCTTAGAGAAGCAAAACAGCTTGAAAAGTAATGCTCTTAGAAGTGAAAAATTCATCTCTGAATTCACAATGTCACCTTTTGTCATAACTGCTGCTGTGCTTAGCACATTTTTCACTTAGCTGTGCCCCAATGTGTTGCTCTTTGTTTGTGATATGAGAGTGATCTAGACCTGCTGTGTGATTTCAGGTTTCTGCACTGAAGAACAGATTGAAGAAAGTCTCTACAACCACTGGAGATGGTGTTGCAAGAGCATTTCTAAAAGCACAAGCAGCTTTCTTTGGGAGCTACAGAAACGCCCTGAAAATTGAACCTGTAAGTAGGCAATTAGTTGGAATAAAATGTAAATGTGCAGCTGTGGTGGAGAAAAAACCTAACAATTCAAAGTGTAGCATAACCAGCTCTTCCTAAGGTGGCTCTTTGGCTGACTAGTACTGAAAACAGTATTCAAGTCTCCAAAATGAAAGACATACAACAAGCATGATTCATCACACAGGGAAGACCCTTCACATGGAAATGTATGGGTCTTGCTTGGTTTTGAAACCAGTCGAATTAGTGGAGAGATGATAATAAAGAATAAATTAATGATCATAAGAGGTTAATGCAGAGCTGACCATTCCCTCCTCTGCAAAACCCATCTCTTCATTGTATTTTTGTGTTAAAAGGTGGTGTATTTGGCATTCTCCTGCTCTTTGAAGATTAATGAAAAGGTCTGGCCTGCAGACGTGTGATAAATTTAATTTTAACCATGATGTTAAATGGTTAATTGGCCTGGCCAAGAGTTGGACTATGGGTATAGTGTTTCTGGAGGATTTCATAGCTAAAGTCTCTCCAGTACTGTAGTTTGTCTTGTTATTTTTAAAACCAGGAGGAAAACACAGCTCAGCCTGACTTTTAAACAGCCCAGTTATTGCCATCAAACAAGAATCATTTCAACAGTTCATATTCAGGTTTCAAAAATTACTTTTCAAGTCAGCACAAGTCCTTCCACATCTTACTGGGGGAATCCGTGTGTGTGGAAAGAATAAATTGTATTGACTTGTGTGTGTGTCTGGGTGTAAGAACTGGGCTTTTAAAGCAGCTCAGGTGAAATCCTGGAGGTATTTAAAATGGGAACCGTATAAATGACAAAGATGGAAGAAGCGAGGCGCTCTGGCTGTGAGCCTCCTTTATCCCTGCTGGGGAGACACTGACTCCCCTCCATCCCTGCAGGCTTCCTTGTTCTCCAGTGCTCCTCCCTGTAGTTGCCAGGCAACTCTGGGAATATTGGTGTATGCTTTGCCTGGATGTGTGTGTGAGATTAACTAGTTAAGGGATTTATGAAGGAAAATAAAAATTTAAATGGCTGTTCTGGAAATACCATCTGGTATTTTGAAGGCTGAATGTTAAAGATGAACATTTGAAATGAGTTGACAGTGGCACACCCCTAGAAAGTGCAACTTTGAGGGACAGCTAACCTGAGGAAGTAGCAGAAATAGTTTAGTTTGCTTGTCATTCCATCAAAGAAAACTTATAAATATAGCTGCACAAATATGTCATAAAATTGACTTTAATAATCAGAAAGTGGAAAATTTCAGGGCTTTCTTTCCTAAGGCTTTTTGTAAATCAACAGTTTGATTTGTGATTATACCTTTCAGTATTAAGATTTAGATAAAGCAAATTTGCAGGTGTTTCATGTTCATGTATCACCTTCACATGGAGTAAGTACAGCGCATAAGTAATACCAAACATGAGGTGGTTCTTTGCATTTCATGTCCTATAACCCCAGAAACCTGAGTGTTCTTTAAAATCATCAATAATTAGAAAATACATTCAACGAAGTACATACAGAATACATTTTCCTCCTTTCATAGTTTCTGTCTCATAAGACAATTTAATTTCATAGACTGTCTCATTGGTATGAGCTGACTTTCTGGGATAAATGGTGTGAATCTATTTTTCATTATTCTGTGTAGGCCCAGAATGTGTCACTGAGCAGGCTCTACATTCCCATTATTGTACTTTAGGGTAGTTAGAGCTCTTATTCTGTTCAGAGGCTTTTACTTTAGAGATACAAGGTTGTGTAATGTACATATAAACAGAACACTGGCAGTGAGTTTCTGTTTCCATGAACTTTCTGAGGCCTTTGGTAACTAGAAATTGCATGAAAAAACATATCCAGGTATACAGTTGGCAAGCATAGTAATAATGGTAATATTTACTTGACAAAACAACTGCTGCAGTGCTGTTTCCTACAGTGTTTCCTGTAGCTGCACTAAGCCAGTTTTAAATGCGGAGGAGTATCTGCTGGGTGTGATGTGCTTACAGCCCACAAAGCTCTGGTGCTATCAGGTCCAGTCAAACTCAGCAGCAGCTGGGTGTGCACTGGGCTCTACTGAGGCAGATTATCCTGATGCATGTGCCTTAAATGTCTGCCAGTGACACCAGTGTGAGCATTTTGTTCACTTGAATGACCTTTCTCAAATTCCCAATGTTTTTGTTGTTTGCAGATGGAATGTTTTTATCTCTTCTAAATACTGAATTCACACTAGTAGGTCATGTTCAGCAGAACAATCTGTGTGAGTACGAGGTGTGTGTAAGGGTGGAACAATCCGTGAGTACGAGGTGTGTGTAAGGGTGCTTGGTAGGACTGAGCAGTTGGGGATGTTGGGAAGCCAGGCTCAGATTTTCGGGACGGGAGCCGTGGCCGTGCTCTTTCTTCTGCTGACACCTAGTGGTTCCAGGCGCTCCGGTCGGACTCTCGCAGTGTTGGTGAAGAACAGCCCCCACCTGTGGGTCGGGGTAAGCTCGGCCGGGCTGGCCCAGAGCAGCGGGGTGGGTGTGATCCAGCAGGATGTGGGGGCTGCCGGGCGGTGCTGCTGCTGCAGCCTCAGCCCTGTGGGGTTTGTCCCCATCTCGCGTGGGAGCTGCACTCCAGGCTCTGCTGGGACGTTCAGGCATCCCAAATGATGGAGTTCTGCCTGTTCTCTGGCACTGCAGTGCTTCTGACAGGGCTGGTACCTGTAGGAAAGCACTGGATTGCATCGTGTTACCGTGTTGTAAATACTCCTCCATGAGCTACACCTTTCACGTGGAGCTGGGAGCATGGCTACTGATACCTCCTTGCATTCAGTGGGAACTGCTGAGGATAAGTGACTCTCTGCAGTGAAGCATCAATTAATTCTCTTTGTCTTCATGGCTAACTATTTAGTTTTATTCAGGTTTATTTGCCTGAGCAACCATTAGTTGTAAACTGGATAATTTCTGGTTATTTGCATTGTTCTGAATTGATTTGGTTTACATTTAACCTAAATATTCCTTGGATGCATCCACTTAAGACTAAGCAGGAAATCAGAGTCAGAGTCAATGTGCCTTTGTATTTCCACGCTTTTTGTGTGCTTCCATTGCTGAAATTACTTTCTAATTTGTGAACTGCTGATCTTAATATGAAACTACTTATTGAAACTCACAGATGTTTTATATACTCCAGTTTTCACACTGCTTTAGCTGAACTACACTGGTGGAGGAATGTGTGTTATATGCACATTGCTGTCTAAGTTCTGTTGTCCTGTCAAAGCCTGATAATTTATATTTGGATTTTAAATGGAGAAGACAATGTACTACCAATTTTCATAATTCTAATTTTGATATGAATTTTCTCAAAATACGATGCAATTTGAGCAATGGTGGGGGAAGAAACCATTATGAATAGGAGGAAATAAGTTTTTTTCTTTTTCAACATAACAATTCAACTTAAGGAGATAATTAGTGCATTAATAATTTTACAGGAATCTCTGGAACAGACACAATAAATGCCTTCAACAGTTCCAGATTCATGAGATCACAGTCAGAAAAGCATATGATATTGGGTGCAGAGTAAAAAAGTAAATGCCAGATGAGTCAAAAAGGAAATTTTGTTGGAATGTGTGTGCAGTAATATAAAGCAAGTGCATGCTACGTACTGGTGCATAATTCATTTTGCAAAGGCTTTGTAGCATTCGGTGCTTTATCTACTATGAAGTATGATTGTTGCCATGGTGAATTATTTTTTTAAGTTATTCAGTGGAAGAGTAAATAGTCATTTCCAACTCCCAGTAATTGCCACATCCCAGTTCCTTCCTCTCCATGGCCATCTTCTGCCTAGCTTCTTTCCCTTGCATGTATATTTTAAAGGCACACACTGCATGCACAGTAGTACTTCCCTGTCACCAGAGCTGTCTCCACAGTTCAGACCTTTACGTGTTTGTCCATCTGTAGAAAACATGAAGGAGGATGATCCCCAATGTTTATATAACTTGTGCACAGACTTGTTCAAATGAACCCCAAGCTGTAGGGGAAACAGTGAGCAGAAGCTAGTTAAATAGAACTTTTTGTTTTACTTGCAGTTTTGTTGTGTTCTGTTTGAAGTCAGTGCTGATGTATAGCACCAGAAATTTTCTCCTACCCGTCTTTACTCTTTTCCTGTTCAAGTGGTTGAGCTCTCAAATCCATCCCTGTAGAGACAGTCTAGGAATGCCTAAATGACAGTAATTTCTAAGTGTCATCCTGGTGACTTTACTGACAGGAGTAAACAACGAGAATGGCACTGACAGTGTGTAAAATCTGATTTTTTTGTGATAAAAATGGACATAAATTGAGTTTCTGTATATCCTGGAACTGAAATTTAAGGCTTTTTTCTTCCTACTCTGAAGATTCTGTGTTTTGTGACATTTTAAAGACCCAAGGTTTCAGCAACCTCCCTTAGAAGCCACCTGTAACTATTGCTATGTTTTACCATCTATGGGAAGTGCTGAATTCACAGTCACTGACTGGAAAAGATTTAGTGGGAAAACACAGTTTTGTTTGTTTTCTGTGTGATGTTTGTTTTCATTTCAATTCTGTTGCTGTTCCTCTCAAAGCCTTACTGTTGCTATAGACAAATTTCTGCTTTTGCTGTTTTAAACCTTAAAAATGGCTCTTTTTCTAACAAACAGTTACTGTTCTTCAAAATGGCATTTATTATTCTACATCTAAGTCTGTTGAGATATACATATGTTAATGAACCTGAAAAGACATTTTCTTTAATCTCTTCCAGCAGTCTGGTATGTAGTAAATAGAATTGTTTTGTAATTTCCAAACTGTTATAAGATCCTCTGTTATCTAATTCCGTATGCCACGCTACAGGGAGGGGGAACCCAGGATTCTGAGGGGAAGGTAATACAAAGTGATATTTGAGAAAGTTAACATCACCCTCTGCTGACTGTGGTGTTTCTGCCCAGAAAGGTGCATGCAGACCTCCCTGTCCATCATACATGTTAAGTAAAACTCCAGCAAAACTCAAATCAAAGCAAAAATAG